ACCCAAACCATTCTATAATTCTATGAAAAGGACTGAAACATGCCTTTCGATCAGCAATTTAAAAGCATTTAACATAACCACATTCTCCTGTGCCAGTCTCCCAGGAATATGTGATCTTCAGACTTTTACAATGGCTTTTCCAAGATTTTTTCCCTTTAACATTCCAATGAAAGCTGTTGGTATATTCTCAAATCTTTCAGTAACTTGTTCATGCCACTTCACTTTTCCCTGTCAAAAGAAGAAAGGAAATTGCTGAGTTTCATTCACCAGCTGCCTAGCTTTTACCATCTTCTGTAGACTAAACTCTAACCAAATTTTCTCCAGGTTGAATGTTTCATCTGAAACATGCAAGCTGGCAAGCACCAGGTTAACTTTGCAAAACCAGGCAGGATGTTGTGAGGATCTGCTTTTGCTGAAAGATCTTCTTACTTGGAGTCGTAACAGGGACTGCTGTAAAAACACACCAGAACAGATTTATTGCTACCTGGTCCGCAAAGAATGGGCAAGTAGGGGATTATTTCCCCAAAGCCAGGCCTGTTTCTACCCATAAGGAAGTATCGAATCACCAATCCAAGTGAACAAAAGCTAAGCCATCCCAAACCCTCATGTTTGTAAAAGCTAGAGCTTGTTAGCCTTTATTGTTCACACTCACAAGCTTTTCACAGCTATGAAACAAGTGTTGAACTCAGCCTCCATTTAGAACAATAAAATTTAAGAAATTCCCTGTTAAGTCCTCTTGAAGTCCAGCTCCCAATTCCATAAAAACATCCATTCTTGTCAGTAATTTCAGCACAACACTACAATGGAAATCTTTGCTCATACTACAAATGGAAGGAGACTTCTGAATGAGAAATAGAGGAATTATTCTAAATATGAAGCTCTTTATTGCCAGAGAAGTGTTTTGAATTACTCTGCAAGCATTTTTTTTCAAAGTCTACATGTATTCTGGAATGTCCACAAGCTAATATCACAGGTGTCAACAAAGCAGAAGTGATCAGGCATGTTCACTATGGTTTGAGTGTCGCTAAAAGGCCCAAAGATCAAGTCAGGCAGAAGAAAAGTATCATGCTGGGACCTCACCTTAACAGCTATGACAAGAGACCCCTTGCAGAAAGGGAAGTTATGGTGTGAGTACACCTTAGAGAAAACTACCCTTTCCTTCCTTACCTCCACAACCCATTTTAGCAGTGCCTTCAGACTTTCCTCCCAGCGGTTATTCCAGCGGGTCACAATAAACCCTTCCATGTGAAGCTCTTTGAATATCATTGGAAACTGAACATAAGGCTCTGCAAGAGAAAGGAACCAGCAAACCACCTGCACATCAGTTTCATTTAAAATAAGTAACAGTGCATACAGAGAAATTTTGCCAGTAAAGATGGCTGAGTCACTTTGTTCCAGCCAGAAGCAACTGCTATTTTTTCCAAACAGAATTTCCAGGACAAAAGACCAAGGATTTATGGACACAAAGGGAACAAAGGCCTGATCCACAAAGCTGTGGGGCTAAACGCCCAACACTTCTGAAAACAGTGTCACTCAGAAGTAAAGTGGCCTCAGCTTCAGATAAGGGGCTTCAGTTGAATCATGGAAATACTGTTTTGACAGCTTGTTTGATAGCCTGCCAAGCTCTCATGCCCTTCCTAAATCTCCAAAAAAAAATTATATACATTAAAAAACAGTTCCCTCACTCATAAAAATAGTCTCCCCACTCTCAAAATTCTGTCCTATTTTTAAAGTGATCTGGGAGTCCAAAGCCAGTCTGTTGTCAAAGAGAATTCAGACCTCCCATTTCTTCTAGAAGGCAAATTGAAAGTGAGTATTCATCTCAGACATATTTCCCAGAAGTTTCACCAGTAGTAGTTAGCCACCCAAACGTACACACACACTCAAATGGCATATGGAAAGAACCAGTAAAATCTCAAGAGACTCCCATTATGTCTTTGTCTCTGCTATCGCCAAACAGGAAATAGACACAAGAAAGCAGGCCCACACCTTTCTGAGGCACAGAGTCATTGTACTGAGAGATGGCTCCACAGACTGCAATCCTTCCATATTTCTTCATATGGTTGACAGCAATACTGGCAAATTCTCCTCCCACCTACAAGAAACCAGAGCATGTGCAGCATTAGAGACAGTGCAGTGTTTGGCATTGACTGCCAAAACGTGCGAACCTTGCATTGCTGCACCAACAGGTTACATCAAGGGGTGGAGAGCCGAGTTCCACTACTTCAAAGACTTGGTGGCTGCAGAAACCCTTACACTTAGTTCCCACCTATGATGACTCAATGTCACTCTTCTTAAAATTAGTTCTGAACACAGGGAATTGTTTTTAATTCTGAATCGGCTTCACAATGCTTTGGTTTGGAAGCACTGGGCAGGACTTGCTCTTAGATCCCTCCTCCTGAGAGGCATGTCTGGGACACTAAGAAGCATCATCTCTCCTTTTCCCCCACACAAGTCTGCACTTTTACCTCTTCACATTATGGTGATGACGAGTTTTTACTTCATGACTCTCCTCTCCCAAACAGGGATATGCTGTACTCAGCAGCTTTTAATGGAGAAAAGCCATGAGAAAATTTACTGCTGGGGAGAGCTCTGCACAGAAGTTGAGAGGGAAGGGAACGGACATGACCATAAAACCTGTTTAAGACCTTAGGAGCACACAATGTGAAATTTGGAAAGGTGAGGCAAGGCAACCACGAGCTCCTGCCACAGGGGCAAGTGCTTTGCCCTGTCACTATGCATTCACGTCAATTGTCAAGGCAAGGGGGGTGAGTTGCAGTCCACACAGAACGGCAATGCCATCATCTCTGAATCAGCAGACAGACTGCTGAGAGAAAGACATGCTAAAGGGGTGATGATGGCTGCTCTTTAAACCAGGTGGCTAGCCAGGGTTTTAGGCTAGTATCTCAGCTAATACCCCTGTACTACATATTATATTATGAGGTATAATGCATACATTATGAGGAAATTAAAAAAGCCTGGACTTGTTCTCTGTCTGGAAGGTGAACTGACATGGTTTGACTGCATCTGTATTGTTAAACTCTCTCAGCCTCCAAAACAAGATGTTCACTTTCAAACAGCCTATCGAGAACAGTCCACAGCCCCTGTTAACTCCATCTGTACCTAGGTGTCTTGGTGTCAGGACCACCACCACCACGTGGTCGCAACACCTACCCCCCCACTCCCCTCCCGGTAAGATGGGGAAGGATAAAGAAATAAAAAAGTGGAACTTCATGAGTTGAGATAACGACAGATTTTTAATAATACCCCACGAGGAAAACAAAATAAAAGAGAATATGACAATAAGGCAAGATACAGAATACAATGGAAACACTGATACAATGAAATCCTCACCACCACGAGCTTCACAAAAAGAGACCCCTCTCCCGGCTAGCTTCCCCTTATATCCCGGGCATGACGTCAGCATGGTATCGAATATCCGGCTATGCCCAACTCCCAGCTTCTGTGAAGAATTAACCCTATCCCAGCTGGACCCAGGACACTAGGAGACATCAGAAACCCTCCAGGGGTTACTCCAGCAATTTCACAAGTGGGCCTTGCAACCATTTTGTTTACAGGTACCAGTGTAGCCACCTGGACCATGTAACATGGGGCTGTCCATGCTTGCTCCCCTTCTAGCAACAGCAGAGAACTGCCTGTAATCCAAGGTGGGGCGAGGAATGGACCAAGCTCTCTCTGTTCAGCATCGGTTAAATGTTCACTGTGACCCTCACTGCCCCAAAATTCACCATACTTTCCAGAGAGTGAAGGCTTCTCTCCTTCCATTCACAAACACTGCCAACAATCCAGCTTTGCCTTTAAGTCTTTGTTCTTTCTGTTACTGCCCCAGTCAGCCACAGAAATAAGTGTGGGAAGGGAACAGGAAAGCAGTAAGCTCTTATGGAAACCATTTCTCGATTAGATGGAACTCAGGTTCCTGGTGTAGTCTTCAATTAGATGTACACAATATTGAGGTACTGCTATAGTTTAAGGAAAATGACAGTCTGTTCAGGATAAGGCCGTCTCTCTGAACTCACATTGTCAAAGAAGCAGTCGTAACCATCAGGAGAGGCTTTACGCAGTGCTTCATCCAAAGATGTAACAGTCTTGTAATTATTTTTTTCAGATAGGCAACCTTATCATCAGAGCCAGCAGAGCCAACCACTTTGCAACCCTGCAAGGAAAGGAGAAAAACATTTCTAAACGTCCCCTCACAATGCAGGATGACACTCACAGAGTTCCAGGTGGAGGGCTCACCCTCAAAAGTCAAGCTGTCATCACCATACAAGTTCCTGAGCTCTAGGAAACATCCAGCTAGCTTTGCTACCTCTTCAGGAGCTTGCCCCATCTGAAGATCTTGTTGTAGGCATGCTTTCAGGGATGCTTGCCTTTCTGATTATTCATGGCCTTGTTCCCCTGCCTCCCAGGTGAGCCCTCTGAAGAGCAAATATCAGCAGTTCAAACCACTCACCTCAATTTTAGCCAGCTGCCCCACCACAGAGCCCACAGCACCAGCTGCAGCGTTAACCAGCAACATGTCTCCTGGCTTCACCTTGCAGACCTCCATCAAACCAAAATATGCAGTGAGGCTGTGAAGAAAAAGAATGATCAGTGAGGAATAAAAGATGACAGATACAGAGATGTGGCTTGACCTCACCAATCAAAATGTCATCATAGCCAGAACAAAATACAGTTTTCCCGATTCTTTATGAAATACAAAAATTATCCCAAACGTCTTAATTTGGCTTTTTTACATCCATCCCAGAAAAAAAACAGGTACACTACTGGGAAACAGGATGCTGTGGCAGAACTCTGCCTTAGGTGAAAACAGCTTTCTTGCGCTCACTAAACAAAAGGAGGAATACAGAGATAACTCTGCATGGTGACAACTCAGTTACACTCTGGAAGAGAGAGGAAATCAAGCTAGACAGAGGTCAGTAGCCAGCTTGTATCTACCAGACTGAGTCAAAGATTGAATGATACTCATCACAAATCAAACCTAGCAGAGAAAGATAAAAGGATGGCAAAACCTTGATGAACTGGTGGGCATACTGCTGCTCCTGAGGGCTACTGTGTAGACCTATGGCTACTGGGTGAATAGTAAACTATAGGAACCACTAAAGTTTAGATTGATCCTGTTCCACTGACATATAAATACTGAATTACATCACTCTCTGCAAGCTTCCTGAAACAATGTCATCAACTGGCCCAAAATCCCAACAAGCTTTTCTTCTAACTTCTAAATTCAAGCTTAGAGCTTCTCACTGGTTCCAAACAGAAAGGGTGAACTGAATCCTGCTAGCAGCTCTCTGGAAAAAACATGCATCTTGCCTAATGTCAAAATGAAAACTGAGTAGTTCTGCATCACACACAATGTTACAATCATTTGGAGAGCCTTCCATGTCAACAGGACTGTATTGGGTCTGGCTGAGATGGAGTTCATTTTCCCCATAGTAGCCCTCATAGTGCTGTGTGTAGCATTGTCAGCTAGAAAGGTGCTGAAGACACACCAGTGTTTTGGCTACTGCCGAGCAGTGCCCACACAGCATCAAGGCTGTCTCCACAACACGCCCTTCGTGCCCCCCAGTAGGCTAAGGGCCCCAGGGGTGGGCAGGATCTTGGGAGGAGACATAGCCAGGACAGCTGACCCAAACTGACCAAAGGGATGTTCCATACCATGTGGTGTCTGCTCAGCAATAAAAGTGAAGAGAAAGGAGAGGGAGGGAGGCATTTGTTGTTATGATGTCTGTCTCCGGAGCAACCGCTATGCATATTGAAGCCCTACTTCCCTGGAAGTGGCTGGACATCGCTTGCTGATGAATAAAATCTTTGTTTTCCTTTACTTCCACATGTGGCCTTGGCTTTTTGCTTTAATAAACGCTTTTATCTTGACCCACAAGTTTTTCATCTTATTTTCTTCCCCCTTGTTCTGCTGAGGAGGGGGGTGATAGAGCGGCTTCGTGGGCAGGTGGCACAGCAGCTCTGTCTGCTGCAGTGCAATTTAAAGGACCTCTGGTATGCTGCATGATATGACAGCTGTCTTTTGCCATTTTGAGGGCAACTCTGGAAATATGGTGATAGCAGATGACCCCAATCAACAAAAGCAGACTAGTCCAGGTGCCAGTGAAGTTTGTATCTTTCCACTGAGGTTAATTAAGATTGAACTAGATTCTTTCCAACCCCTCCTGGATCCTCTTCCTATGTTATTACAGCTCCTCAAGGAGAGGCACTATAATCTTCAAGGCAAATCTCCTCTGATCTAGAGGATGGCCCAAACTTCAGGCCCTCTACAGGGTAAGGGCATCCTGAAGCACACATGTTTTCTACTGGAGTGAGCAGACAACACACTGGTAGAACAAGATGAGGGAAAAAGGTCATATAGGCAGAAACATCCTGCACAGCAAAATCCAAGGGATGGCTGCCTCTAGATCTCAAAACTCACCCTGGCATGCCAACCATCCCAAGAGCCAGAGATTTGGGGAGTGACTCTGGCCAGCTGGAAGGAAGGAGCTGCAGATCTTTCCCATCAGAGACTGGATGAGTTCTCCAGCCACTTCCAGGCATGACAAAGTCCCCCACAGTGAAAGAAGGATTCTTGCTTTCTACAATCCTGTTTAAAAGAAGAAAAAAAGAAAAATGAACACACTGTCAGAGACAAATCATTACTAGCTTTTCCCTCCTTTATTTCTGTTACCCTGTGATGCAGGAGAAAAAAAAAATTCACAGCAGGACATTTAGACCATACCTGCTGATGCTGTAAGCTTATGTCTTTCCTGAAATGTCTACAATCTCCCATCACCAAGGCAAGATGGTTCTAGACTCAGCCCTGCCCACAACAAATCCAATGTTCCCACATGGATGCTGACTGTTTTTTGACTAGCACCAGTCTGGTATGAATTCAGACTAGGCTTCTGTGAGTTAGAAGGCAGGAAAGAGGATGTCAGGATTAAAGGGTGGAAAACCAAGAAGTCACAGATAGGCTGTAGCAAGCAGTTCGCTTCTCAGACAACCAGCACCTCATTTAAAGGCTGAAGATCTTAAAGATGCAACCTCTTGGGGTGACAAAACCATACAGAAAGTAGTTTCTAATAACAGGGAGAAGTTCATAGATGCAGTGTTTCTATGCCAAATGAAAATTTAACTTTCTTAGCCCAACAGGAAAACTATGTTGGGAAGGGGTAGGTAAGCAGCTTTGAAATATTGGAAAACAGTTGGCCTTCTGTTCAGCAGATTTGGCTAATTTACCCCAGTCCTCAGCGTTCCTGCAGAGAAACACAAGAGTCAAAGGCCACAGATGTTCCTGGGCAGCACAGCAGGAACAAGCTGACAAAGGAAAATATCTGTGTACCTAAATTACCACAAGAGCTTGGGAAAGGATGGATATCAGGTTAGATAATCCTTTGCCTAGAGCTGTTATTTTAGGTGATGCTGAGGTATTCTCAGATGGAGCAGATAGCATGCATGGTTTCAGGCATGCAATTACTAGGACAGCAGATTTTAAAATGTGAAGTTGACATGGCAAGTACAATGGTTGGTCCTTCATACCTTTGCTTGTAAAAATCTCCTCTGAAAATATTATCGCCATAAATAACATATAGATTGTATCAGAGGCCTAAAAGCTCTACAAGAAGGCAAGAGGGATTCTCAGAGGAAAAACACATTTCAACCAATTACAGAGAAGAAAACAGTTGCATACATATGTAGACTCATATCAAGAATAGGTGATGCAGACTGCAGATGTCTCAAATACCCTTTGAGATCTGCCTTGTGTATGGATAACAAGAACTGCAGATCTTATCTGGCAACCTGTGAGCCTATCATTATGTCCCCTTCCTTCATGTCCCTTTGACTGTAAGGTCTGTAACACAGGCAGAGAGATGGCTTAGTGTAAGCAATTTTGATGATGTTCCAGGTATGCTATAAAGCAGTAGCTACAGTCTGACCCAGAAAGAGAGCATTAGCAGTGGTGTCGAACAGACTGCAAAGAGTCTGTCATTGTAATGACTTAACTGGATGTTTTCCATAGCCAGCTACTGAAGTATCCCATCTTGACTGAATACTGGGCTAGAGTGTTAGGGACACAATAGCATTTATCTTCCCAGCATGGTCCACCACTACAAGAAGGCTAAGACTCCAAAGAACACTGACACTAGGATCCACCAGACTTCATAAAACTACAGACTACTTCTCCTACAAACCCAGCATCCCTGTGCTTGAACTACCACCTATTAACATAGGCATATCAGCAATTTCCTACTTAGAATATGTATGCTTAAGTACAAGGTTGCTAAGATAAATGAAGCAGCTCCTGAAAGAGGGCTGCAGTCTCATTTGAGCCCATCACATTCCAGTGGAAGAGACATGACAAAGAACAACAGCAGCATCCAAGAAAAGCCTAGGCCTGTGGCATCATTATCCTCATGTCAGGCTAAAGCTGGCACAGCTCAATATCGGAAATCTTGTAATTTACACACATTTTATAAAGAGGAGACAAAGGCATTTGGGACTCTGGCAACATGGGATGCTCCCAGTTCATGTTCTTTTGAGGTTTAAGTTGGAGACAAAATGAGGGATCTTAGCGAGCAATTTAAAAAGAAAAAAAATATACCTCATGTAAAGATCAACACTGAGAAACACTGATTCAAGCAGCAACTCTACAAGAAGAGACAAAGTAAATTCCTGGGCATTATCAGTGCAGTAAAGCATATTTTCCACAAGTCAGTTGTTCAACAAAAGCTATAGGAATTCCTTACACTTAAAACCCCTATATCCCATCATCCTTTGGGGGAAAAACTACCAGAAACTATTACTACTTTCATTATCTTTGTCTGCATCATCACTGTGCTGTTACAAAAGACACTTTCTGTAATGTCTCCTTAGCAGGCTAGCTTCTTTTCAACCTTGTTTTTCTTTATCCTCTCTCTACAGAAGGCTCAAGAGGCCAGACCCCCTAGGCAAAATACTAGCTCACGTTCAACCCAGATATAAAATGCCTTCCCACGATTCAACCAGCAGAGGGTGGTAAGAAACCTCGGCACGGGTCAAATACGAACGCTACTTGGCTGCCTTACACAGAAGGCATTAGGCTGTTTTTCCTTTGTAGCCTAGTCCACCTTACTGCCTCTAATGCCACTAGTTCTTATGAAATACACTGTTGAACAAATTTTAATTTAAATTCAGATTCACACAGCAATTTTAGCTGTTCATCTCCACCTAATAATACTTTCATTGCCTGTGCTGAAGTGGTCTAGCCAGTAAAAGCTACAAATATATTCAGATATAAATATTCTTCCATTACTCAGAGTGAGCAGGAAGACTAGACAAGGCCAAATAATATAACAAGAAAGTCCATCTCCTTTGAAAGTGTTACTCTAGTATGAAGTTATGCCTCTTCTTGCTGTAGGGATTAAAATGGGAAGAAAGAAATGACTATGTTCTTAAATACCAACAGGCATGAAATTTTTAAGTGCGTCTGAATGCTGAAGAAGTACACATGCTATGGAAAAGCTTGAAAGTCTATGCATGAAGAAATTACTTTTCAAACCTTTAAGCTGTAAATGTAACAAGTACTTTAATTCAATTTCCTTGGCGTACATGCTAAACTGGAGTAAATTTTGTGAAGGAGAAGTGGTGGGGAGAGGTTCAAGAGAGCATAGTATGGATGTCCATGTGAAGCCAAAAATCAAGGTTAATTCTGTTATCAATAGGCCTTGCAGAAAATAAGTTATCATATTCCCTACCCTTTTCGAAACAGAGAAACACTGGAATAAAACCTGTGCACTTTTTTCTGTTTAGGTACTCTGAAGTGGAAAAACTCGACAACTTGTGAAAGTTGTAAAGTAGATATGTATTTTATTCAGTGCTGAGGCTCATGGGGGATAGCTCCTCCAAAGACATGCGCGCCTTTCCGCAAAACCTGTCCCTCTATTTATCCCCTGAAATGTCGCATATGGATTAAGTTTCACAATACATTCATTCATATTCATTTCCTAGCCCTCTTAGCCCTGCTTCATATTATAATTAGCTAAAGAGTTCTTCTGCGCCTGCGCGTAGTTCTCTCTGGTGGTCGTATGGTGGTTGACAGGATGAAGTAAAACTAGTCTTCCTCGGAGCTGAACTTTTTACCTTGTCTCCTTGCACATGCTCCCTGGTCTCTTGGTCGCAGTCCAAAGGACAAGGCTGGTTCCCAGCCAGTTTAGGGGTCCGAGCAGTCTCCTTTATCTCCGTGGCCTTGCAGGTCTTGTATTCTCTCATCTTGTTTTGGTTAGCAGTTCCTTCCCTTATCATCACAGCTTTGATCCTCTCATCATGTCTTCACAAGCACAGCAAATGTTAATCATATATTGTCTGAACAGCTATTCTTAATCAGTCATTCTTTGATCTCTTTTTAGCTTCTAACCCCTCTGTCTCAACTCTCTCTTGCTTAAGAGGTCAAATACAACAGATAAGCACTGCCAAAAAAACCCAGATGTTCAATGTAGACAGAAATCTTGCCTTGTTGCTCCTTAAAATTAAGACCAGCCTGCATTGACTCCAGCCCCAAGGCCTCCCACCCCACCACAATCCCACCCTCTCCCTCCAGCACCAGACTCACTCCCACTCCAATCACTCTGCTCTGCCCCAGCACCTATCCTATATACCTTATAATACCTATATACCTATAATACCTTCCCTATCAGCATGAAAAAACCCAAAGAAAACCCACTCCCAGAGGCTACCATCTTTTCCAGTCTTCTCCAAAGGATTTTGCAAAACAAAGTAGATTAAAAACTTTCACCAGTAAAGCATGTTTGGTTTTTACTACAGTTACCTCATTTGCTCTGTCACAGTCAGTTATCTCTTTCTAAATTTCTTTCTAAATGCCATTTTGTTGTGGCTGTCAGTTTGAGGGTATATCACTTCAGCAATTTTCTCCAGTAAGCTTTATTTGCAAATACATTCAAATGCCTTTGCCATCAGGCACTATGTGTGATTAGGCAGTGTGAGACTGTGACAGACATGCTGCAGCCACTGTGCACTGGAGTTAGAGGAGCACTGCCACTGTTTCTAAGGGTATTATCAGAAGGCAGTATGTCTTAAGAGGCACCAAACCCATCAGCATACATGTTCATGAGCAAACGCCCTTCTCTGCAAAGGCACATGTCTTGCCACAAGCTGTGCCAACTGATGCTCAAAAATCCAAGCCAGAGAAACATACAAACAATTCCACAGATGCACAGCCATTTGTCAGCAACCAGACAACCTCTAGAAAAAATAGAATCAGGTGGCACTCCACTTACCTCCATCCTTAAGGTTCGGCAGCTCTATATTTCTCAGGTCAAAGTCGCTGGTTTTGAGGAAACCCTCAAAATGCTTCTTCAGAACCCACACCTTGGCAGTCACCATCCTGCACCACAAACAGCACAGCCAAAGAGCGCCTGTCAGTGCTGGGCTGCTCATGGGGGCTGGTTTAGACTTGATGAAGCAGAAAAGAATCTTGATAACATGCTGTCACACAAGACAGCCTCTGCTTGCATCATGTGGCAATATTGCTGGATCAAGAAAATATCTGAAAAGCCCCCTCATTGCCTAAGCAACCCAGAGCTTCCTGCAACCTGCCAGACCTCCCTGCCAGCTGGCTGCAAGCCCTGGTGTGGGAAGTCCACCCCAGCAAGATGTACAGCTCCCACTCTAAAGAAATTGAAGAGGGAAAATCTGCTAGCTTAAGGAGAAACAAAAATCCTGGAAGGAAAAAAAACCAAAACACTTAAACTCACTTGTTTCCCTGATTACACACAGTGAGTATCAAACCTAAACTTTTACAAGCTTGAACCACAGTGCAACTGAGAAATACAAAGGTAAGAAAGACTTCTTTCTGGGACACAACATACATTCAAAGAAGAAAATGCTTCTCCAGTTGCCAAGCTCAGGCTTGGAACTGGGAGCACACTGCCACCAGGATTTTCCATACAAGATGGAAACACATGAATGACTTGCATTCATTTACCCTCACAGCCTCTTTTTCCTTCCCATAAGCAAGCGCATCAACAAGGGCAAAGAAAGAAGTTTATATTTAGAGCTGGCAGGTGGAAAACTGCGTCTTCTGCTGACAATGCCAGTCAATAACCTTCTGCTCCCGACTTGGCAGCTGGACTCTTTCAGTCACATATACCTCCTAAAAGGCAAAGACATCTGGTTTTATCGACAGAGCAGGAACCGCCCTCAGTACGCTTCCTCAGGAGCAAGTGTAAACCCTCAGTAAACCTGGCACAGAGCACATGCAATGTGATTCACCTTTCTCCTATTAAGAGTTGAGATCATCCTTACAGACCGCTCGCAGGAATGGGAGACAGCTGCACAGGAATGTTCTGCAATATGCCAAGCTAAATACAGAAACACCATGGTCTTAGAACCCAGAAAATACTGCAGTCTGGAGACCGAGATGATCCCCTGGAGCTGGAGTTTCTTCAAATCACATTTTACTAGTCTAGCCCTAAAACTCTCAGGAGTTCTGACACTGCGGAAAAAAATATCTAATTAAAAATTTTAAATTCATCATTCAATACACCATTGAACACAGCAAATAATCCAAATGCACACCACCATCACAAGGAAACACTATGTGATAAATGATTTAGTCTGAAAACGGGATGACAAATAAATTTTCAATTTATTGAGCGAATAAAAGGCAAGCAAACAGCGCTGGGCACGTGGGGCGGAGCCTCTGCTCTACCAAGACACATGTGTAGGCTACATTTCCTGTTTCCAGTTTTTACCCGTCATGTCTACACATATTCATAAATAGGTGGGTCTATGTAAATGACCTTCAGCACATGCTCTCTTCACTTTCTAGGAGTTTCTGGGGGTCCCTTGGTGGTTCTGCCCCTCTGTGTTACATATTCATAACAACAGGTGGGTCTATGCAAATAAGTTCCAGTAACATTGTGTAATTAACATTCCAGTAACTTTCCAGACCCTCCCCACAAGCTTTTCACACTTTCTTAACACTGTACAATTAACTTTCCAGACCCTCCACCCAAGCTTTTCACACTTAACACTGTGTAATTAACATTATATTGGCAACAGGACATGAACTATATACATACCATTCCACTACCCATGATTATACAAGGACAATCTAAATACTCAAAGGCCACCCTCACAAAGAGGGCGAGGTCCCATTATATGGCCTCATTGTTTCATAGTGACACGAATCATTGTGAACATATTTCACACACTATATCATGACATTCACATAGTGAGATGCCTACAGGGTCTCAAAGGACATTTGCATCCACGCGTGTGCTCTGACATCTTAATTGTTCCCTGCGCACGCACTGCAGGATCAGAGCTTGTGTGGCTACACTTCTGCATGCTGGGATCCCTGTGCATTGCTGAACCACCTTAAGAAACAGAAGCAAGCTTTCACAATCTGCCTCAACTGTGTTGCAATGAGGCGCGGCATGGGAGAAAACTGTCCAGCGACTATCCGTCTTAAGCTTTTCTTTTTCTTGTAAAAATATTCAAGTAGACTATGAAGAGTGGAAAGTATACCTAGCAGCAGGCTTAACTATGAAACACCTGAGGACAAAAGTACTAATTAGGAACAGTGACCTGAGAAAGTAAACAAAACTTTTTAAAGACGCACAAGCAAGGACCAGAAGAACATGGCAAGCTCTCCATTACTTAGATAAAAGCAAAAGCCCCCAGAGCCAGAAACTCATCAGCTGTCAGCAACGTTCTGTGATGAACCAGGGATATTCATGGTTCCTCGATGAGAAAAAAACACAGCACAGGTGAAGGGTTCCTGCACTAGAAATATGTGCTTGGGACGTCACCTGTATCAGTGTTGCAGTATAGGCAAGATTTAGATTT